CAGAGACAGACAGACAGACAGACAGACATACAGACAGACAGACAGACAGACAGACAGACAGACAGACAGACAGACAGACACATGATCGGAATCTAGAAGAGGTAAGGTAAAGTAATAAAATGTAATAAAAGTAATAATACCGTAAGTAGTTCATGCCGATTGTTACGATTTCGAGGTATTGGGGGTTGAAAACATACACCATCTCTATGATAAGTATGACGTACAAAGAAACTGTAAGCGAATTGCGTTTTGTTTTACTTGAGATAGTCCAGTTTTGGCCCCAAAGATTAAGTCTATCCTTACACTGAACATTGCCCTTAAAGTTAATATCTGTATTTATACTCTAAGTTCCTAAAACGGGGACTGTCCGTCAGTTAGGCCTAATTTTAATCTTTATTTCTGATTTGTAAATGTTTAAACCCTCTTCACTAGCAGGAAGTGACAAGACCAAAGATTCATAAAGACAAGACTTGATGCAAAATTTAAACTAATCTAAGTTTTGTCAACTTCGCAAAAAGTCCCACGCGCCTACTTGCACTTTATCACACCTCTCAACCCGGGAAGTCAAAATATTAATAATTTAAACAAATCGCTTTGATATCTTTTTTAGGCTTACACTACAAGATCTAGGAGAATATGTGTTAGAAAATTATTTTGTTTCATACACCGACATTGTGGTTTCTCAAGTCTCGTGTCGCATGGTGTGTGTTTCGTCGTGGTTCGAACAGCTGGTCGTGAAGAAACACAACTCAGCCGTCTCTGCTCTGACTGAGACAACGAGGACAGCTTCTGCTGTGTGTGTCGATCGTCAAAACAAAACCCAACTGACAACCTTGATCTGCAGAGTATCACGCTAAACAAGGTCTTCATGCAAGGACACAATGATTAAAACTGCAATCAACGACAGCAGATACTCACTTCAAACATACATAATCCAAAAAAGTTATCCAAAAACCAACGAATTTCTTCACTGATCACCACAACACACGGTAGTCCTAACACTGTTCGGCTCCTGCGCCATATGATCAGCGGGGTCTTTGAACACAGCAATCTCACACCCTCATTCCCCCTCTCTCTCTTTCTCTCTCTCTCACTCTCGCGTCTCGCGCGGTGGGCCGCGGCCAAGCGACGCCAAGCGTGCTTCCTCGTCGCTCATTGGTGCTGATCTCGTATTCATACGTCTTAACAAGCGGCACTATTTCGTCCACCAAAACAAACTTCGTGTTGCAGTTTTCAACATTTTGAATTGAGAATGAAAATTGTAAGAATGTACTTGATTGCACAGCAAAATGAAAAAATATTATGAAACAGAATATGATAAATGGAAAACGTAATATGTTCTCTAGGAAATGCCAGAAGGCTGTAAATTATGATCGCTAAAGTAGCTGCGCGTGGTAGCTTGACCTACTTACCATAAGCTCCTCCCCTCTCTCGTCAAGGCTGCATGAATGAATTTGACCGATAGGAAGAAATGAATGAATGCGAGAGGGCGTGCGTGAAGATCTCAATTATTTATTCACTTTTCTCTTTGTACGTTTACGGATTTTTATGCTTCTACTATTCTGCCACAGGTGGTTAGAAGGTGCCGCTGATTGGTTTTACTTCTTTACTACCCTACAATTGTTTGTCTCCCAGACGTGCTTTATTCCTAGAACTTGGGCTACCAACTAACAGTTATAACGTCGATATGTTTCTCTTTTGGCTACTCGAACTCTACTGAAAACCAGAAATCCTTGATCAGCAAGAACCACTGTTATGCTCGGTGCACACTGATAATCGGGTTCATCTGACTCAGTCGAGACCTTCCAGATTTTCTTTCCTGGGTGGGACAAAGCTGCCATTTTTGACACAATATGATTCGACTCGCGACCTTGACAAACAATTATTGTTGACTGTGAAGGTCATGTTGAATTTAGCTGAATTCGGTTGTATTGTCCCAAAATGGTAGTTTTTGCTCCATCTATGAAGGACAATTTGCCTTACCCGGACTTAATCCAGTGACTACTACGATTGATGTGCACAAGGTAGTTGCCTAAGGTTTGTGATTTCCCACCTGTTCTTTATCGAACTGGTGACAACAACACTACACTACCTTAGAATTACAAAGTTCTAACATTTTTAAAACCGTTTTGAGTTACTGAGATAGTGAAGTCAGAAACAAAAAATGTTCTATTTGCTCTATCAAAATCATAAGATTATTTGAAATCTTTATCAAGACATTCAAAGAACTGCATTAAAAGAAAATTTTTTTTAAAAATTACTTGCTGTGAAACTCTAATTTTTGTTGTCAATTTTTGCTAAACTAGGGACTGAGCAAATAAAACCTTGTAATTCTAAGTTAGCGAGAGAGAGAGAGAGAGAACAAAATACCCCCTCCACGTCCCATGAAGCCAATACTCTAGATCTGAGCGCCTTACTTCTCACTGACAATAATAAAATAACGACAACACAACTCTTTTCTGACAACTGCGAGTGGCGAGAGGGTACTGAGAGGTACATCGTATATAGAGGCCTGTTTCTTTAATTTCTCTTTTGCTTCCGTCTGTCTTGCCTTTGCCCTTGCACTGCATGCCTGGAATTATGTCTATGTGCTTCTCTTTACTTAAACTGAACTTAACAGTCTGGCTGCCAATTGAAGTGCAAACGCTTCTTTGCTTGACTATAAAGGCGTAATGACATACAGAAATAGGCTACTGTGCGTCAAGTAAAATGTATGTGAACAAATCGTTCCTTGTCATAACTAGATCTCACTATCAGTGCAGGGAGAGAGGGGAGAAAGGGAAAAAGGGAGACAAGAAGAAGAAGAAGAAGAAGAAGAAGAAGAAGAAGAAGAAGAAGAAGAAGAAGAAGAAGAAGAAGAAGAAGAAGAAGAAGAAGAAGAAGAATA